CCGCTTTCACGACACCACTATATTCAAACATATTTTTCGCCTCTATGACACTTACACCATAACCTTTCTTTTCCTATATGAAACCTTTGTTTTTGCTGTATACCCTTGACTAATGTTCCCTGTTCACGGACTTATTGCAATAGAATTCTCACAGCACATATTTAATTAACTGGGCCTTTTTAGGCACAATTCTTGATTGTTTCCCTTCTTTTCTTGAATTATACTAGCGGGGATAGGCCACAATTTGAGTCTTCGCCACTCTATTCGAATGCTTTTAGCCTAAAATTCCTCTTCATCTCGCTCCATGCAGAAGATGTAATAGCCTGTTCAAAACCTGATCATTCCCTATCTTTCACAATAAATAGCTGATTGAATTTTATTTTGATTACAACAGGAGTACTTGGAAATACTGGCTCAGTCAATTGAGGACATTGCGCTTAGCATGGAAACGCCCATTACGGATGACTCTGACATTAACAATGATACTATAACGGAGTCTTCGTGCTAGCAGTTTCCGCGAGAGTCACAGCATATGACATTTCGTTCCATCCGATCTGGAATTATGCCTGTAGCTACTTGGTTCCTTAAGCAGGCACCCATGGACGCCGTTGTTGTAGTTTGCTGTGACACAGTTGCTGTATATAATTGATGGACGGCTCTTAGAGGTCTTACAGACTGCAAGTAAGATGTTTTTCTAAACAAGGTCACGAATTCATCTCGTCGCTGCAGAACAATTTTAAAGAGGCTACCCAAGGAGCAACCGAAGTTGCCGTTGTACAGACATGAAACCTTCAAATCTGCAGGAAGGCATACCTTAGAGTGCTTTTTGGTGTTCGGTATTTATGCCAACTTGCATGACGGACTGTAAATGTCTATGATATGGTAACTATGGCAGCTTACATGCTGTCTGCCCTTCAGAAAGATTACCAGTCTGGTTAACTGTCGATAGAGTTCAACAATACATCGCCACCCACGTCTCACTTCGGGTCACTGAAGATAAGATGTAAGCTCCGTCTTCATATCTTTCTTCAGTTCCAGTGGCGAGTACTTCCTGACGAATAGATTTTTTCCAAGGCTAGCTTGATAGTATGAGAGGGCGCGAAATATTAGTGAAAATATCAAATAGATGGCCTGAAGTTTGCTATAACGTGTCCTTGAACACTTCGAGTTTACTAACCCAGATAATTGTACAGTCTTCCGTTTTACGTAGCGTTAGAAAGCCGTTACTCGTATAATTCTCATCTCCTCGGACAGGAGTAATATACAGAAGTAATAATACTCAGTTCAAAGAGGATGGTAAATATTCAGATGTATCTAAATTTTTGGAGTGAATAGTTTATGACAATAATAAAAAGAAAAAGTTAGAAGGAAGTGAGTTTGATGTGTATTGTGGGTTAGGGTGTACTTTTTAGAAAGTCGTTCCCTTTTAAGAAATAGCGGTTATAGAAAGGTTGGCGTTGGTATAGTTTCGACCTTGTGCGGAAAAACGTTTCCACTGTTTTTCAAAGTCATATTTGGTGCATTGAACTAGTTGAATACAGTAAGTAAACTCCACACAAATGCCTTGAATATGAATATAAATGCGTAGTGCATACCCCGTTTAAGACAAAAAACCCTGAAAACCAAACCCTGTTCAGAGCCACGTCTCCATTCAGGCCAAATAAGAGATAATCCACCCCGGTATAAAGCTGTGTCAACACAATTTTAATTGTGTAAAACAAAGCAACTGGCAAAACTGAACACTTTGCGATCGGTTTAGGCTCCTATTCCTGCAGGACGTAGATTCCTACCCTAGTTACCGAAAAATCTAGCCTGTGTAACAGCAGGAGCCCATGGCTCGGCAGCAAGCGTTTTTGTGCGAATTCGTTGGAATAGAACGTAAAGAAGAGAAGGGGGAGGGGAGAAAATGCGTTTTCGCAAACACAGCTTCCTTTGATATCAATCCATTCTCCCGTAATTTTAATCTACAAAATGGAGAAAAACTATCAAGTAAGCAGATTTGTGATTCCGAAGCCCATAAATGCTGAGCCGTCGACTGATCACTGCAGAATATGTCGGCGCTATAATTTAAAGTTAAATTGGGAACGATGTCTGAGCCAGAAGAATCTACAACCTCGTCCCAAGGGCTTTTCTCCTATTAGTGTTCTCCCTGGGATTTTGGGAAGGCCAGGGGGTATTCTGACTCAGATTCAATTTGCTTTGACAAGCTTTTCTTTTTTGCTCCACGCAACCTGGGTTGACTGTCTGAGTTTTCCATTGCGAGTTGTGATACTGCTTAAAATGTGAGCGCTGGAATTTCAGTTCTTACTTCCCGTAAGCTCCCTGAAGGGCCCTTATTATTGTCGGTCAATTTCAAGAAGGCTGCCGTTCGGTGAAACGAGTGCATCACAGGTTTAAACATATTCATCCAATGGTAAATCACTTTTACAATCAGTTAATTACGAGAAAACACACAAGTAAAAACACCACGGACAATATTTCATCAACGTTATTCAGTGATTTTGTCCCTGAAGTACCTAGTTCTAGATGTCAACGTAATCATCCAATTGGATAAATCTTTGGTTTTAGGCCAGGCGGCAACGATTTTCCAGTGAATTAACCCAGGCTGCCCGCCCAGCCTTAAATAGCTGGGGAGAACACTGCCTAGAAAATAGCCTTTTTCTGATACCACCTGTTGCCGTTTGTCTACCTGTCATCATTTGTCTTCCTTTTAAAAAATTCGAGCCATTTCTCAGTTTGACTCCAACCGTTTCTATCAGTAATAATTTGACTCCAGTTTTCACCATTCGTCTCCGTTTGTCGTCATTTGTCTCACCTTTCCCATTCAACAAATTTTGACTGATCTGTCTCTATTTGGATGGCGTCTACGTGTTATTTGTGACGACTTGTTTT